TTTAAGTACTAGTTGAACCTTTAAGGTACTGAAGATTTATTTGTTTTAACTCATTATTTACTTTGGATATTTTTTTTATGACAGACTACTAAGTTCTAGTTGTACTATGATAAATAAAGCAACTGTTATTGAACCCTATATTTATTTAATTTTAATTATTATTTGTAAGTATGTAGGAATTAGATTTCTATGTTTGGATCTACATAAATCGGATATACTGTCTTGGAGTTAATAATAATATCATGTTAAATAAAAAGTCGGCATTTCGGTTGGGTGCATGTTCAGCAGTCGAATCTATAACGTATTCGAATACCGAGCTCTGAACTCGAATACTTGATCCGAGTATCTGACTCGAATCCTGACTCGATTCTTTTTTAAATGAGTACCAAAATACTCGAGTACCAAAAATAGCCGACTCGGCACATCACTAGGTAGTACTACACTCAGAAAAAGGATTAGTTTCGACAACTAAAGATATTTAGTTCCCGAATTTTGACAATATTTGGGAACTGTTACCAAGGATCGGGAACTATTACCATGGGTTGGTAAGTATAACTAAATATATCAAAACTTCTAATAATCATCTAGGTTGTACCAAATCGTTAATTTAGTTGAAGGGTTTGGTAAATACTAATAAATATTTCTTTGAAGCATATTTCTACAAATACCATTCAACTTAACGTATGGTTCATAAAACCATGTTATTAAGCTCTGCTAATGCAGGTCAGCTTTCTTTCTAAAAATGGTTTAGGCATAGTTACCAAATCTTAGTTGAGGCAACCACGATTTGGTTTGAGAGCGGAACATATTCATGCTTGTGAGCCACCCCTAAAGAATGCTTAGCGCTCTCTGAGCACATGTGTGTTTCAAATACGAAGAACGCCAGCTGAGCAATGCACACAGTCCCACTTATTGAATCGTTTGAATGTGCTGGTATGCCGACCATTCCCTGAAGGAAAGATTGGTCCAATCGCTCGAAAAATATAGTCGTAGGTATAGTAGCTTTGTATCTAGACCAAAGGTAGTCCAAAAATATAAAGCAATGTAATGTAAAACAGGTGAATTGTACATTCGGACCACAATGTAATGCATAAGGTATGAGTTTTGATCTAAAACTGGTTACAATGTCATGCAATAGCGGCCAACGGGTACAATTAACGACTTGCTGATATGTAGGCACTTAGTCAACAAATTTTCGTGTGCGACGTTGGCATGCGAAGAGAGTATCCGCTTAGAAAATCTGAGAACCCCGGTTCGAATCACAGCTGGCGCAAGTTTTATTTCCCGATACTAGCAAGTCAATATTCTTACTAAGTTTCATCAAAAAATTCCTTGTCGTTTAAAGAATAAAGGGAATGCCGCATTATACTAAAGCCAGCCTTTATAAGTATAAGCTACTTTTCCATACGAACCCAGATATATTTCATATGAATTATAATTTGAAAGTGTCTATTTAGCCCAGGAAAAGCAAAGCAGTTTACTTAAACCAGAACTTCCAGCAGATATTGTTAGCAGCCCTGGTAGTTTGCTGAAAGTGGCAACACCACGAGTAAGAACTGCAACCAAAATTTATGTTTAATACGCCTTGACTGCAACCAACTTTGGTATATATTTTCGTCGGATATGAGATAAGGACTCTAGACAGCGTACGAGCAACACAAGGGGCTTCAAACAGCAAACAGCAGGCTTCAAGCTAACATCTTTAACGTTCAACCTACGACTATTTAAGCAATTACCGACTGTCGTTCAATCCTACGTATTTCATATGTATTTTATGTTTTAAATGTACAAGTTACGCGCTTACGTGTTGTAAAAGTAGAAACCTTAACAATAAATTTTTATACAACTCAAACGTCTTTACTTTATTCATTTTAAATCCTTTGTCGGTAAGCAGAAGCAGTTCTCACACTTCAAGAGATATTGACCTGGGTTTTCGCACGACTGTTCCTGTTTCATCGTTTTTTTTTAAGAAATTCTTACCACCATATATGTACATATGCATTATTTACACTAGTAACTAATTATGTAAATAAGTGTGTATTTTCTATGCTTATTATATGCAAATAAAAGAAGAAAGTAAACACAACAACCATCGAGTAAATTTTTATTTGTGTCAAACTGAAACATTTTTCCAATAATAAACGGTTAGCTGATTCAAGTCTACAGCAAGTTCTCAAAATTAATTGAAAACTTGTATCACCCAAAGCATTGTTTATATTTGCTCAAGTACTAATTTGTACTGGAACCTGCAAATTTTTACTGGAAAAGTGTATCATAACCCAAAAAATTTGCAAGAGAGCGCTGAATCGAGAGCGTAACAACACGGGAGAGCTGCAAATTCTTGCTAGTGAAATTTTTACTACACTGAGAAAAAGGATTAGTTCCGACAACTAAAGATATTTAGTTCCCGAATTTTGACAATATTTGGGAACTGTTGCCAAGGATTGGGAACTATTACCATGGGTTGGTAATTATAACTAAATATATTAAAGCTTCTAATATTCATATAGGTTGTAACAAATCGTTAATTTAGTTGAAGGGTTTGGTTAATACTAATACATATTTCCTTGAAGCATATTTCTACAAATTCCCTTGAACTTAACGTATGGTTCATAAAAGGATGCTATCAAGCTCTGCTAATGCAGATAAGCTTTCTTTCAACACATGGTTTAGTCATAGTTACCAAATCTTGGTTGAGGCAACCACGATTTGGTTTGAGAGTGGAACATATTCAAGCTTGTGAGCCACGCCTAAAGAATGCTGAGCGCTCTCTGAGCACATATCCCAGCAAAACCTGCGTGACCAAAACTCCAACACAAACGCAAATTGTATGCTGTTACTAACACACATATAATAATTTTTGATAGGAGTGCCATCTATTGTTTTTTCTTGCGAGGTATCTTTCGCATATGAGTAAGTAGTCAAGCTAATCTTTTCACATATGAGCAAGCAGGCAAACTATTTGGTTTGAAAAATCACACGTACACAAAACTTCTGGGAGCATTTTTGATTCACTATTAAGAATGTGATAGCAAAACGTGCCGAACTTAATGGGCACGCGTGACGGTCACGTTACTAGGAAAATGACCGTCACTGTTCTTGCTGGGATGTGTTTCACATACGAAGAGCTGAGCAACGCATACAGTCCCACTTATTGAATCGTTTGAATGGGCTAGTATGCCGACCATTGCATTGTGCGAGGAAATCATTGCTCCGCTTCCGCTGTTCGTATATGGGTGAAACACGCATGTGGTCCCAGAGCTATGGCATGAACCAACTAACAAGATCCCCCAGCACGGCAACCGTGTATTTGTAATTGCATTTGAGAAAAAAAATAATAGTTGATGACGTCATTTTTAATCGGTTCTTTCATTCACACACAGGTTTCATTCCGTTTCATTCACATGGCGGCGAAAAAATGACGTCACTGCAAAAAAATAACTTTTTTCTCGCACGCCGTGCTGGGTGATCTTTATTCGTTCGTTCATGGAGCTATGGTATGTCGATCGCTGCGCTAGGTAGAGAAAGAAAAGTGTGTGCTATGACCAGTGTTGCCAGGTCTTCGGCATGAGAAAACGTCCGTCTTGGTCTGAAAAAACGTCATTTCCTACCCAAAAACGTCTTTTTCAAATGTATGCACACAGAATTGTTCTTATTAAACTTTTATTGTATGCAAAGGTTAAAAACGTCAATGTGACGCAGTGCGGCTCAAGTGTGGTGCGCAAAATGGTCACAATGAGGTTTGAAAATAATAGGAAAAAAAGACAAATAAAACTCGGTTTAGTTTAATGGTTTTATTAATTGTCCAAGTATTTTGATTTGATTTAGATATGTTGGTTTACAATGGTTTTACCTGAAAATAATGTGGCCTGGTAGCTGCAGTTCTTTCTCCTTGGTCTCCCGATGTGAAAGTGAAAAAATCTAAAGCCGTGATTTTCGTTCGAACCGCCGGACAAAGAAAAGACGTTGAGGGGAAATTCAACGAAAGATACTTTATCCGGCGGGAAACTTAAACTAACGGCGCGAATATATAATATACATACATGTGTACAAGTATACATGCATAAATGTACACATATGTGAATGACACATTAGGGTGGTGCATTATATTTGGAAATATTTAGGCTTAAGGCCTAAACATCCCGGCCCCCTTGCGGTAAGCAACATCTAAATATCGGCCGCGTTTCAGCTACCAAGCGCACATGGTTTTTACAAACAAATGTTTTCTATGTCTTGATGTTAATGATCAAATCAGGCAGCAGCGTCGGCATTCATTAAGCTAGAGTTCGTCCTTCCTTTATGGAGTGCTACTGCAGATGTAAATATAAGTGGTAATTAAGGAAATGTACGTGGTTACTTTTTCAAATGCACTTTATTTAAATTCATTATTTTATTTCATTTTAGAGTATGATAATTTAGATGTAATGTATGTATGTAAAAAAAGGAAAGTTACGCTCTAGAGGCCCCGGACAGCACCCAACCAAATATGGTGCTTTGGGCGAGCAGTGGTCCCAATGTTGTGGGCAGTGTCCCAGGTAATAAAATATCTGCGTAAACGTCGGTTCCCAGGATCACGCGTATCGGTGCGGACGCATAAAAGCGAGGGTCCGCTAAGCGTATATGCGCGTACGGCTCAGCCACTGAGGCATCCGCGTTGCTAGATGGGCTTATTCTGCTAAAATTGGGTAGCGCAATAGCGTGAGTTGCTACCCGTTTATTTTGCCCATATTTTCCCCGTAAGCATAACAGACAACCTCTTTCTCCGCTAACGCGCGTCTCGTCCAGACGCAACTCTCGGGCTAAGTCAAGTGATATTATAGTTCGAGGGGAACATACGTCGATAAGCGCGCGGATCAAATGTAGGCGCCCTCCAGCTTCTACTTTAACGACTGCAGTCGGAGCGATAGCGATCATTGGTTGAAGTGTTGGCGCAGCTATGGTATGGTGACCCAAGATTCCGTTTCGGAACGTACGTCGTTTCGATAGCTGGTGAGGCCGAGTCGCCAGTCTACCTTCCTTTTGTGTGCGTCGAGGACTTGCGTCTGGGATTACGCAGGCGGAAAGGCCTGGTTTCCGCTCTACGTAACCGGTTCCGCTCGTGCTGCAATAGGGGTCGAAAAGGCCTAGTTTCCGATCCCCTTTCTGCGAATGCGCGGAGAGGCCGAGTCTCCGCTACATCGCCTGAAAGTGCACCTTCTTCGGTATCTGGACGGAAAGGCCGCGTTTCCGTTCCAGAATCGGACGCAAGTAGCGAGATTGCACCATCGGAATTTTCTTCTTCCTCCTCCACCTGTTGGGCCCATGACTTTTTCGATGTGCTAGGTTCATCCTCGAAATGTAGTGTCGAGTGGTGCTTTTCGCCACATCGTTTACATCTGCCTTCGCTCACGCAGTCTTTTAATTCGTGATTCATCGCGAGGCAATTAGCGCAGTAGCGTCCTAGTAAGGCCTCACGCAATCTTTCCTCTGGCGACTTCGCACGATACAAAAGGCAAAGCCTGATCGGATGATTTGCGTCGCATAGGCGACATGGTTGCGGATAGCGATGGGCGCGCTGTTCGGCCCTTTTCCTCATTGCGGCAAATTGAGACATCGTTTCCTCTGAAATTGTGTCGATACTTTACGTTGGTTCGAGTTTTACGCTTGATATGAGTTGTTGGGTGGCGAGTGTATCGACATTGGCTAATTACATTAAGGGCATAACTATTTCGCTGATGCATAAGAACAGTTTGGTTTGTGTAAATGGGTTTATCATTCGTACGGCGCAAACTGACTCGTGTAAATTATGTATAAGGCAAGATTTCGACCCACAAAGAAATGAAAAGTGGATCGCACAAATGCCATACATTCCATTGAGCAGGGATGCCTTGGCAAAGTTAAATTTTTATTACATCGAAAATTGTAAATTGCCTTTATGATGTTTGGAAGTGCCAATATTAAGTGAAAAAGATCATTTCCGTTGATGACTTGATCTACTAATATTCGTAATTAGCAGTTCAACTTCATTGCATGAAGTTGTCGAAAACGTATTACTCTACATTTGGAGAGTTTTTAGCCATTCTCGCAACCCTACAACTAGTCTGCCACCCAAAAAAAAAGGTTTGGATGCCACTGTAGGCGATACTCGTCTAAAAACAAGGTAGCTCATATGCAGCAGAATACATAAGTTTAATTTCAAATTTTATTACAAAATGTCTTATTCCATTTTGAATTTTACATAAAAATATGTGAAATATTTATAAAAGGTTAGTGCATTGATATGGGCTTATGACAATGCATCTTTTTTTTACATTTTTATCCGAACAATAAAATATATTTACGGTACTATATGCTTTGTTGCAGAAACATCTTTACTGACTCAAAATATATTGTCATAATTCAAGTGGTGGTAAAAAATTCAAGAGTTGAAAACCACAGTAGAAAATTCAATTTCGCTAAGAAGTGTGTAGATCTACTGCCATTGCAGTAAGTTCCGAACGCTGACCGACATACTACGTTCACTTTGTGGAATGCATGTATGTATGTACATTGGTACAATTGTCAGAAACCATTCAAGGCGAATTTATACAATGGAAAACCGTATACATACATACCTACAAGGTGAAATGATATTTCTTCATTGAAAAAAAAAAAAATGTCAGAATGAATTCAATGGAAATCCGTATACATACACGGCGAATTCATATCTCATTTCAATTATATTTTTCTGGCACGCGGCGGTTGTGTAATCTTAAGGTTAGGTGAGTATGCGTAAAATATCGTATTATATAGCTATGTTTGAATGTAATTTTTTCTTAATTACAGGATGTTGCTGGGCATAGTTTCTGCTGGTGTTATTTTTCGGCAAATAACACCAACATCGAGGGACTTAATCGAAGTAAGTACCCGATTAATTTGCTGGCTTTTCTGGGTAAACAGATTTTCCAAATTGCTGCCTTTTCATTGATTGACTAAGCAACGCCATAGTGAGTTATTCAATACCTACTTTATGCCACAATCTTCCATGCAGCCAGTGTTGCCAGAACTTTTTGGACGAACCGGCTAAATTGGCAAATAAAACCGGCTAAAAACGGCTAAAATGTTTCAACTAAATTTCACATGTTTTATTTAAATAAATCACGAGTAAAAAGACCATTTCTTGGAGAGAAGGTACAAATTCGAGCCGGAACAAACCTATTGTCTTCCCTACAAGGCCTTTTCAGACTGACCGATTCTCAATACACTCAAACAGAAACCAATACACAAAAAACGCTGTAAAAATTTCCCTTCAAATTTAAGGCAGTAAAACAACGACCTTAAGTTAACATCAACCGAGGCCATTTGTTGACAGGGATGCAAAATTACAGTTACACAGAAGAACTGGTCAGATTGTTCAGAAATCCCTTCAATTCTGATGTAAAATATGATGCCAAAAGACTGAAAATATCAATTTTTCCCTTACCTTAAACCTTTGGGAGTGAGCAAATATATGTTTTGTAGTTTAGGCAGAATTGATTATGCGCTATCTGGGAAGACAATATCTACATGTAATATTTATTCTGTTTGTTGGCACTAACCACAAACACATCTTAAGTGTCTTAACAGTGAAACAATTTTTTATTTTCTAAGTTTGCGAATAAAATTTCGCACTTAAAATTAGGAAATTTATAAGAAACATTTTATGGAGAAAATCCCTTCTTCGTTTAAAATAAAAATAAGCGAAATCGGCCCAATTTCATACAACCCTGCCTGACATGAAAATTTTCTCCACGATAAGACTAGTAGCCATTTGTAACAGATGTTGGGTCGCTTAGTCAAAAATGGAAACATGTATACATATTTGAAATTTAAGAAAACATGGCAAATAGCAAAATCGGCTAAAAACGGCTAATTTTTTTCTGCAAAACGGCTAACAAATCGGCTGCCGGCTAAATCGAAATTTCTCCGGCTGTTTGCTATTGCAACCGGCTAAATCTAGCCGGAAAACGGCTAAAATGGCACCACTGCATGCAGCTATGAATAAATGATTATAGTTCGGTTAAATGGGCATCTTAGTCGTACATACATATGTGCTTAAAAGGCGCAATTCTATCCACTAGTATACCCCAAATATGTATATAAAACAAGCGAATTATCAATATGAGTTTTTCAAACCAGTACGAATCACATACCCCAAACTGTCCTTCGGGTAACAAATTAGATCAGTCGAACTTTGCTCCATTCCATTTCGAATATTTCCTGAATTCGTGGTTGTTTAGCGAAAGCGCTCACAGGACAGACAACGATATACATCATATAATGGAACTCCGACTAAATGGTAAAATGACATAGGTTAGAAAATGCATAGCAAGTATGCATACGTTTCTAGTAGGCGACTGTATACACCGCATTAGTTCAGTAAACTGTCCTTAATTCGTCAGCTGCTCGAGAATCCTTTTACCCTCCGTTTGTATGTGATCGTGACTAAGCTCCATCTCGCTTCACCATACTGACGATTTCGCAAGCTTGCCATAGGGGCTGTAGACCTTTTCACTGCGGCGCGCGACTTATTTTGATCAGATATTTCTTTTGTAATTGCCTTGCTGCCATAATCTTTTCGCTAGGCATGGCAGTTTTTTTTTTTTTTTGCAAAAAAAAGAAAAGGTTTTTAAAGAAGTTTGCAATGTAACGGCGAAAAGCGGGCGGTATGCCCGGAAAATACTAAATTTTGTTTTATCTGGTAAAAATTAATGTAGTGCTATTTCAGTACGGAGTTAGTACACATTCCAACGCAAAGGGGGACAATCTTTGGCGAGTGGCGAGTGGGAAAAAGTTCATTGTTTCGCTATTTCACTAACAACTCATTTGAAACAGATACCGATCGCAAATTTACGCTGGGCTTGGGCCATATAGACCGTGACTACAATGTTGGTGAGAAACAAATCAATCTTCAACTATGAGATCCTGGCGGTATGGAACCTGTTGCACCTTTTAACTCATTATACTACAAACTCCCTACAGGTGCCATAGTTTTGTCACGTCTACTCGACACTGCCACTTATGCCTGAAAATACGAAAATTTCCATTTGAATTAGAAGCCTTTTGCGAACAGTACCACAGTTTGATTAATACCAGTTAAAAACAGCTTTTCGCAAAGCTTCGCAAGGTATCGATAAGATTCGCGACATCTCCTGTATACCTGTCGATGCCTATCATTCTAACATGGAACTCCAAGCTTTGGAGCCACATAGTTTCAAATTCACCACAATTGAAGCTAACGCACTGCAACGTGAATTTTCACTATGGTGATTATTTAATGGGTAAAAAAAAACGAAAGAAAAAACAAATTGATAAAAACTAACAAGTCGAATTTGTAAGCAGGTTTGTGGCACACGGTTGTCAACAATAACGTGAATCAATCAGTTCGTTAAATTTAAAAATGTGCAATCTTGCTGCGATTTACTAATAAAAAATGTGTAAATATTTGTTTACTTAATTTAATCGCGTCCAATGATTCGACGGCTGAAAAAGCAGTGTCCGGTAATCGGAACGCAATCGACACCACTGATGATATAGGAAATCCGACATGGACTACTACAACGAGATTGACGCGTATTTTGAAGAATGTCCGAATACGAAAGAAAACAACTAGAGATCCTGTTTGTTTTCTACTGGAGATAATTAAAAAAAAATTATTGTGTTCGAAACACACCCCGCGCATGCAACATTTACCTGGTCAATTGCACATAATCTGGATACCTGTATCATCAAAACCCAAGTGAAATTTTTAACAGTCTTTATTCAATGGTATAGGTTCCAGTCTGGCTTGCGGGTCCCCATTCCAGCTGACGGTTCTCTTCGGCGTAGTATCTTGGTTTTCTACTACTTCCATCATCATCCTTATTCGAAATGTCGTTGGTCTGGTAACAAAGTTTTATGTTCTTACCTTCTTTTTTTGTTGTTAACCGTTTATTCGAGGCCTAATTGGTTTGTGTTTTTTATCAGGGATTGCTGGCATAACGACATGCTGCGTATCGTGCGATTACGAACAACAAAACACAAACAAAAAGAAGCTGATTGTCACCGAACCGAACCCTTTTGGAACCGAAGATATGTGAGTTTTTAAATATTTTTTTTGTATTATTTTAAATTGTTCCTTTCGGGCGGGTCTTACACTATAAACTGCCTACACAGTTTATGCAATCTCTTCTAAAATAAAGCGGATAGAAAACCAGCAAGCTTGAGAGGTTGAAGATTTTGAAACAAAAAAACATATCGGGTTAAACTTGCTAGTTTTCTACTGTTTGCTTTTATTCTGAGGCGGAGTAGTTCGCTACTTCTGCAGTTATTTTAATTATGGATTCAGATCTGAGGATGGTCGTTTTTGTATAGCCAGATCAACCCGGGGTAACTCGGGTAAGAACCATCACGCCAAATACAAAAAAAAACTCAAAATATACTCCATGGTACTAAAAACAAGTTATCTCAAAAAAGGTTAGACATGGGATCCCTCCTACTGCCTAGAAGTGGAATGTTGTGGTAAAAGGAAGTGGAATGTAGTAAAGTGGTGAGGGGTAATTTATGAGGCGGTTGTTGGCTCCGAGTTTCCATCGTTGTATGGCGGGAGTAGAACCAACTTCACCAGTGGTATTGTGACTTGACCTTTCTCCGTCGAGATGTCCACTACTCGTACTCTGCTGTCGGCACCAGGGTGTACGTTGACAACTCGTCCTAACCTCCACTCAGTGGGGGTTAAGTTGTCTTCCTTGATGACGACCAGATCACCAGGTTTGATATTTTCTTTGGGATGCTTCCACTTAATGCGTTTTTGAAGTTCGGTTAGGTACTCTGTTTTCCATCGCCTACAGAAAGTTTGATTCAGTGCTTTGAGTTTTTGCCACCGATTCACTATGGAGGCAGGAGTTTCATTAACGTCTAATTCTGGTGGGGCTAGAAGATGTCCACCGATGAGAAAATGGCCTGGAGTAAGCGGCTCCAGGTCAGTAGGGTTATTTGAAGAGGGACTCAGTGGCCGTGAATTGAGGCATGCCTCAATACGGCATAAAAGAGTACTAAGCTCTTCAAAGGTGTATTTGTGGGCGGACGCAATTTTTCTAAAGTGGCTTTTGAAGCTCTTTACGCCCGCTTCCCACAGTCCTCCCATGTGAGGCGCTGCAGCGGGTATAAAATGCCACGTCAGCATTTGATGATTGTATTTCGAGATAGTTTTTTCTCGGGTTTCAGACAGAAAAGCTTTAAATTCAGATCGTAAGGATCGTGACGCTCCGACAAAGTTAGTGCCGTTGTCGGAGTAAATATTTCTCGGACATCCTCTTCTAGCCACGAACCGTGCGAACGCCGCTAGAAAAGATGGGGTACTAAGATCACTAGTAGCTTCTAAGTGAATCGCTTTTGTCGTGAAACAAACAAATAAACAGACATACCCTTTAGAAACTCGACAACCTCTGCCGCGGTAACTTTTAACATCAAAAGGTCCAGTAAAGTCTACCCCCGTATTGGTGAAAGCGCGAGTAAATGTAGTGCGTTCCGGAGGAAGAGTTTCCATAAGTTGAGTTTGTGACCGTTTTTTAAAGATAATGCATGTCTTACAATTATGGATAGTGGACCTGATCAAGTTCTTGACTTTGGGAATCCAGTATTGGGTACGGATGAGGCGTAGCATCAGTTGATTCTCTCCATGCAAGGAGACCTTGTGAATAAACGATACAATAAGGCGGGACAACCTGCTGTTATACGGGATAATGCTCGGGTGGCGTTCATTGTATGCTAAGTCCTGGGATGCTCCAAGGCGACCTCCGGCTCTGATAATGTCATGTTTATCGATGAACGGATTAAGCGGAAGGATTTCACTCTTCGCATCGATTGGTTTTTTAGACTTCAAGTTTGCGTATTCTTCACCATAATAATGCTTCTGGTAGATTTTTATCAGGATTTCTGTCATTGTTTTAATTTCATTAGATGAAATTAAACAAGAATTTTCCTGAAATGAAGCTTTTGTTTTGGAATGAGTTCTTCGATAGAATCTCATAACATATGATAAAACTCTCAAAGCTCTCGGTAGATCGGAAAAACGGTCAAGAATATCGATATCATTTGCTCTTGTTGTCGCATAAGTGTGTGCTCTTTTTTCTTCAACTTCTGTATGATAGTCTGTTCCTTGAGCGGGCCACTTGGAGTTGTCTTCTTGCAGCCAAGAAGGTCCCTGCCACCACAAAGAATTGTTGACCAATTCTGACGCAGGTAGTCCTCTGCTAGCCAAATCGGCTGGATTTGAGGCCGAGTCTACGTGTAGCCAGTCCTTCTCCCCTACTTTTTTCTACGATTTTCGTAATTCGGTGGGCGACGAAGGTTGACCAAGAACAAGGCGGCTTTCGTATCCATGCGAGTACGATGGTCGAGTCCGTCCATAGATGTGTCTTCACTGGTCCTAGGTTGAGGTTGTTGATTATAGATTCTATGATTTCTGCGAGCAGTACTGCTCCGCAAAGCTCCAGTCGTGGTAGCGATATAGTTTTGACGGGGGCTACTCTGGTTTTTTGCCAAAAGTAGATTGACCAAAATTTTGTCATCTCTTTTGACA